CGCAGACTGTTGAACGCACAAACGCAGCGGTGGAAATGTTTAAACTCGACTGTTATGGGTAGTTCAAGTTAAACAAATACAAAGTACTGCACGTATGCCATTCCTACTTTTCCTCCTTCCTTCCTCAACTTTCCATCAGTTGACGCTCACTTTTAAAACCTAAGATGTTTTTAGTGTTTGCTGCCACTGCTGGTGACAACTGTTCACTCGATCCGAAGTCCGCTCACTGGGGTCCGGAAGTTACGGACGTGAGCTCTACTTAGCGAAATCAGCCTGAATGCAGCCAGTTGAGTGAGGAAAACCTATAATTGTTGGCGGTCGATAAGCATGCACAACCATCGTTCTAAGACTACTCACGCTGAAGTCGGACGCAGATAGTTAACTCAGCCGCCGAGATAATCGATCAAGTCGGTGAGTTGGTTGAAGACTGGACCCCTGATGAGGACTCAGTCAACCGACCTACTGATCTTGCATCAGCACGTAGAGATCTGCGCAGTCACGTCCGGACCCACGGCTCTGGTCGCTGGTTGGTTAAATATGTAGAAGGCGCGTATCTGACGAAGGATTCCTGTACGCCTTCAAAAACTCAAAAAATGAATAAAAAAAAGTCTAGGCGTTCGATTCGTCTCCTTTAATGCTACTCTCATATCAACCTGGGACTCGAATATCTGAAAAATAGACCAGTTAGGTAGTTGTATTGTCGAAAATTTCTATAGAAATTAAAAATGCGTCTCTGTCAATACGACTGTCGTTAAGAGATTACACACAAGTTACTTCCATCCTTAGGCCACTAACTTCTGCTGAGCATGCTTTATCTTACAATAGAACATTTTAATTAAAGTACAGGGAATTCGTCAGCTCATGAAATGTGCATAAATTTACGAAACATCTTTTGTCACTCGGAAACCGGGCCAAATATACCGAGCAACATTCGCAATTAATGACGAACGATCTAGTAAAACAGGGAACGCAAAGCAGGTACTAAGAGTAATATTTCGTTGTCTAGAAAAAAAGATCTTCTAGAAAAGTGAAAATGATGAAAGAGATAGAAAGCCGGTCAAACAGGTCAGCTTGAGTTGGGGCTACTATAGCCTGATTCCTACCTCCATTTTTCTGCTTCAGCATACCCTTCAGGATGTTGTTACGAGAGCTTTATGCCGAAATGATGCACAATGGAGATATCTCCTCCGACATGGTCTCTTAGTGGAGGACAATTTTGCCGCAAATGCCATGGGCCGGTGATGTTCTCGAACAAGAATGTCCGTGAAGAGTAGATGTTAGTATTGGACTTTGAACGGAAGACTCCACTGTAACTTGAATCCCTGGGAGATTCTGGAGCAACAGATTGTCAGTGGAAGAAGTGCTAAATCTTGCCGGTTGATCTCAAAACACTGTGTGTGACTGGTTCAATTACTGCCGGAAAGTCTGCTCCGAAATGGTATCTGTCACTAGGAGAGGAAAACTGACTAGAACACCGGAAAACCTAATAAAGCTCAACGAGATCAGATCTGCAGGGCGCCGTAAGTACAGTCGTGGCCGTCTTTTAGGTAGAGATGCACCTGCCGAAGAATTATCGGAACCACGGCTCACGCACTGATGGTCCATGGGTCTTTGGATTGTGTCAGGGTACCGATGTTAGGCGAGATGCAGCGACAGTGATCCCTACCATTGAACGCGAAGCATAAGCAGGTTCCACAATACATTCTGATGAATGGCCAGCTTTTTAGGGTTACAGGATAACATTCTAGCAGCATATGCACTCGCTAAAAGCCCAGACACGCGTGTTTCGCCGATATTCTGCCGCTGTATGGCATAGGTGTGAGGGGTCCGGCTCTTCAGTGGATACGCAAACACTCCGCGTCTATTCTTCTGGTAGATACTCCAGTTTACAATTTGTTGCTTTTTAATTCCTTCGGCCCAGCTATTCATACATAAAATTTCAGTCTGCACCCATGGACCTTAGAATATACTGACCTACTCAAAGTTTGCAGTTAACTTCTGAGGAAATTAAGAAGCAACGAATGGCCAGCTTATCGACGACTTAATCAAGCTGGGTACGATCAAGAAACTATCACTCACCGCGAAAATTAACTTGATCCGAACAGAGGTGCACACACTCAGTAGATTAAGCGGACCTGGTTAGACGAAGCGATTGAGATTTTCAAGAAAAATCGCGGAGCTCCACCGAATTTACTTCAGGGGTACTTGGGTGAACACTGCTGGCGTGTTTTGGAAGGAGGGCAGACCACTTCGTGGCAATCCGACACGATATTAAAGAGGTATTTGCTGCTTAATTGTTTTTATTTAATTCAAACTTAAGTTGCGCAATATAGACGACATATTTCAAATCTGGTTCCGATTTTTGACCTATTAGAGCAGGAATCTAGCCATAGCAGAACACCGATGGTAGGAATCAAGCTACAGTAGCACCCTTGCGTTTTAGGCGTACACACAGCCTGTTCATGCTAAAGCCTGAGTAAATAAGACAGCGAATAAACAGAATGTACCACATTTTAGGTGTAGTACCAAAATAGCGACTAAATGGTCAGCGACAGCATTGAGCAAAGGTGGCGACGTCCGCGGCATCCACCCAACTCTCTTTTCACAATCACAATGGGCGTGGGCGTAGTGTCCGGTGTGGATGAGTCATGTTTGTGCACGTCACGCGCTGGCTGGTCCATTCACGCACACGCACCAAACCCTAAACAAAGGGGTCTCGGATCCTTCATCGATGCGGTCTGACATGGCGGGCACAGTAGGTCGCAGAAACTACAGCCCGACTCTCAATCTGGTGGCGGGCGAAGCTATCAGATCAGGTGGAAGCCCTCCGTAACACGAATTTTGCGTCCAGTTAGGAATCTGCACATGAAAATGTGGAATTCCTGTGTCCTGACCGAAGGTCCTAGGCCTGCTGTTTTCATCATTCCCAATTTCTGTCTGTTTTTTTCTCTCAAGCTTACTTCTTTGGAATTTGGACAAAGACACCCGTTTCCGAATGCACGTACACAGTCGTCAGGGTCTCCACTTGGCAACCCTGGAGCTAGTGGGCAGGCAGCTGTTCAAATGAAAGTCAGGGACACGCAGACACCGGCGCTGGCAGCGTGGAGGAGCCTTCAGAGGCGATTCTGCTGCTTTCGTGGCATCCCTTTGCAGCCTTCTGTTGTTGGCGGCAGCGTGATGAAGATCTGAAGACAGTTGCCGGGCCGACTGAGCGGCCTGGCTTATGTTTTTTTTATGCAGCTAAGTACGCCCCTTTTTGCTGCTAACGGCTTTCCATGACGTTTCGCCGGGGCGTTGGCAGGGATTATTTTGGCAGTCTTAACGAGGGTCCGAGATAGTGACGGTTTTTGTCTTGTGGTTTCAAAAAGTGGCGATATGGTCTTTAAAATGTTCTTGAAAAAAGCAGACTGAGTAGAGAATCGACGTTTTTGTACGGGAAGTCAAGATTCTTGGTTTGAGCTGCTCTTGAATTTGAATGTTATTCTCTGATACTTCACAGAATAAGTGTTTACTAAAATGTGAAGGCTATAATGCATGAAAATCTCTGCAACGCCACAAGAGGGTATGCCCTACAGAGACACCACCAATCTATTGGTTATCTGACACCAAACTAGTCAGAGTGGTATTACTGACAAAGACAAGGGAGACTGGAATGGCCATTTCTGGCTTACTAGCCGTCATCAGCCAGTCATACCTAACCCCGAAGTGTGGAACACCTGAGGCTCGAGCTCGCGACCTGTTAGTTAGAAGTCTAGCGCCTCTGACTGGTTGACGACGGCTAATAAGCCAGAAATGGCCATTCTAGTCTCCCTTGTCTTTGTTGGTAATAACATTCTGCCTATATCATGCGCCGCTGTGCGGCTGCTGGTTGGACTCGAGAGGGAGCCCGTAAGGCACAAGGGAGCGAGTGATTTCCGTAAGAACGATCGTCGAGCGCCCCTCTACCACCAAACTAGTCGTTTGAGTCAGTGTGCTTGCGACGGATATGCCGCTGAGTAATTTTGCCGGTTTTTTTCTGGAGTAGACCGAGACCGAAACTGGGTACTTCTTCATCATGGTTCAAATGCTACTATTTTCAGCTCGGAGTAATTTGTGGATGTAAGGTTTTCCCTGACAGCTCCTAGTAAATATTAGTTGTACCAACTATAATGCTGATTAAGACCGTAACAGTCCTCTACCATTCTGTAAGAGGGTTTTCTCGAAACAGTATTCACAAGTTCATGTGTGCCGCTTAACGAGCTCAGTATTTTAATTAGAATAGCAAAATTCTACTCCAGTCGCTGGGGTAAAAGCGGAGGGCGAGTAGGTTATCCTGAATGGCGACTTTCTTTTTGCGTTTATTATATTTTCCCCCCACTGCCACCCTGTCGGAGGTAAACGGTTTGCCACAATCGCTCATTGGTCGATCTATTTGAGGACGCACTTCAGAAAAAGTGGACACGAACGATCAAAAATAGGAGACGAAGCTTTTTACTGAAAACTCAAACAATCCTAACTGTCCTAACTTAAGGGAAGCGGAAAAATAGCGATCAAGAGTCAAGATACAAAAAAGCAAGAGGGGATTTACTCTCAACTAACGGCGGTTATTAAACTTTCGTTGGCGAGCGTTAGGTCGGAATCCCAAAGCGAACACGTACTCGATCCATAGAGGCCAGAGCACAACCCCGAACCACCCAAGGCATCGCTTTCAGTGCATCCGGTCCCGTACTTTGATGAACTGGGCAAACGCTGCACAGGGCCTTGGGTCAGCTGGGAATTACCACATACCTAAACCATCACCCTCCCTAAACGTAAAGTCTTTGGGACTGCGAGCCAACTGACCGATCGTCCTCTTCCCCAGAAGTAGACGAGCACCCCCGCGTGCGGTCCTCTAAATCAACCCACCCTCCCCGAACTTGATGGGCCAAACGAAAAAAGAAACAAAACTCGGCCAACAATTGTTCTTTTTTTCACCGATAAATTTTCGAAGGAACAACGCGGGAAAACTCGAAAAGAGGATATTACAGGTAGGAAGAGAGTGGAATGGAAAGCTGCTGCTGTTGTTGCGGCTGCTGCTGCGACTGCAGGTAGGTTCCAGTTCCAACGGTACCAACTAGAGGAAACTGTCCGATTGAACTGATTTGGGCATTGTCGTTGTTGCGGTGGAACGGCGAGGTAGTGAAGTGCTTGATGAGCAGTTGTCGCAGTCGCTCATCCTGCTGTCTGTGCTGCTCCGCAGCCTCGGGGGTGATCTGGAAGACCCCGTTCGCGTCCACTGTCCCCGCCGACTGAAATGCGCTGGGTCCAAGGTAGAACTGAGCATCGCCGGCGCTGTCCACCACGGCAGTGTCGTCACCGGCTCCGAGGATCCCTCCGTTCGCGCCCAGCACTCCGTCAGTGGGGCTGCCCACAACGGAGCTGTAGAGGCCGCCATAAAGTGGGTTAATGGCGGAGCCCGTGGCGTCGAGGTAGGAGCCGCTGGCGCCGCTTACAATTGGCGTCTCGCTGCCGCTTACCGCCGCCGTGGCGCCAACGACCGGTATTTGGCTACCAGTGCTGCTGGTAGCGGCCGATGGGAAAGCAGAGAAGAAGAGATTGTCTGCCGGCTGTGAGGAACCGAGGCCGGAGGTCGAACTATCGTAGACGGCGCCGGCGCCACCAGCACCGCTGCTGCCTTGGAGGCCGTTGAAGAGCTGCAGGTACTGACCCAGAGGCGCGGCCGAGGCGGCGGGAGAGGAGTAGGTCGTCTGTTGCTGGAGCTGGGGCTGATGAACCGCAGCCGGCTGGCCAATGGAGGCGTAGGACCATTGATGGGTCGGTTGCTGCTGTTGCTGTTGGTGGCTCTGCAGAGGGTTGAGGGTTCGGAACTGCTGCAGCAAAGGTTGGTAACCGCCGTAGTTTAGCACGGCGCCCTGAACCACAAGGCCGCAAATGAGGGGAAGGAGAAGGCAGACTAGCCCGCGCGCGATCATCTTGCAGAATGCGTCCTCCGAGCGTTGTTTAGGTTAATATACCTGGGCGAGTGACGAACTCTGGATTAACCCAAAGTCAGCCAATGAGAGACCAGGGGGACGAATCGAATGTACTCATGGACCAGCTGATTTGATGTCAGTTGTGTTTGCACAAGGCAGTGAGGACATTAAACAGACTTAGGAAGATCGATAAATCAGTATGCGTGAGCACTGTTAAGGGACGAAGGATCAGGCACGAATCAAAGGTCCAAAAGACGATGCTAGAAATTAATAAGATGTTTTGGTGGGTTTTGAATAATTCATATTAAACCAACTGTGAAAAACTCGGCGCCTCGGTGGGATTCGAACCCAAGACAGAAAGAGGAAGGTTTTAGTACAGCCAACACTAGCTATCTGAGTTACCAGGGAGAGGTGAATTCAATCACATTAGGGTCAAGTTACCCGCCCAACCTACTGCAACGTCTGGAATTTACCAAATCTGATATAGTAATCTGACTTCCCAAGCAGGATTTCCTAAGCAATCCACCTAGAATCCACTAGATGACCACCAGCCCCACGTAATGCATAGATCTTGCTTGGGCAGTCAGCTTACTGTATCCTATTTTGTGGATTCCAGATGTTACAGTAGGTTGGGCGGGTAACTTGACCCAAATGTGATTAAACCCACGTCTTCCGATGGGGTCTGATAACTTATGTAGCTAGAGCGTTGGCTGTACTAAAGCCTTCTCCTTGCTGTCATGAGTTCAAATCCCACTGAATTATTTTACTCCAGAAACTATAACAGCATATTATTCGAAACATTTAAACTGAAATGGGTGAGAAGGGTAAGGAATTACTTCGCAACTATGGTGGTTAGACGAATGTAATTATTTATAGGTATTTTATTAACAAAAATGGGCTAGATCGCAGTTGGTAGCCCGGAATGGGAAGCGGACGGCGACCTTAACCCTAATCCGAACCTTAACCCTTACCCTAACCTCAACCGTTACCGTTAACCCTAACGGCAATCCTAACCCTAGCCGAAATCGTAAACTTAACCGTAGTCCTTAGACATAGCCGTAACTGAGAAGCCTAACCGTAATACTGGAACCTATTCGTACGCTCAAACCCTAACCATAATCCGAAAACCGAAGCCTAAAGGCATAACCCTAACCGGAAAATTGGAAACCATTAAATGGTGCCCTAATTCTAACCTCAAACGTAAAACGGAAGCCAAATGTGTCCGATGTGACTATGGAGGCCCACAAAATAACCCCAGTAAGCAAACCCCCCAGCCACCTGTAATGCGGGTCCGGTCTACCAACTGCGATCTAGCTCAAAAATGGTTAACTGAGCTGCCACACAGGTGTATGACACAAAAAACACAAGCGCAGATTCAAATGACACAGTCGTGAAAAACTCAGTCGCTCGTTGGGATATGAACAGTCAACACCCTATTCATCTCGGTGGTGGTTGTACTCAGTCTTTGTCCTTGCTGCCGTGGGTTCGAATCCCAGCGAGGTGGCTGAGTTTTCACAGATGGGTCAGCCGAGTTGTTCAAATCTGGCAAAAAAACCAAATAGATACAAAAGTTTAGTGTTTGAAATGTGGGTATTTCTAAATTGCTGCAGTAAGTAACTGAGATGTCAAACAAACTTTTGGCATAAACCCCTAGTCATTTGGAGATCAGCCCTCGAGATAAACAACCAAAGACAACAGAGTTTGAGTCGGTTTCTCCGGAATTTCGATCAGTCATTCCAATTCGAACTCAAGGCTTACTCGCTGGCGAAGGCTGCGCTGGACTGAAAATGGGGTTTTTCAAACAAAACCGGGATGATACTCTCCTTCGCAAAAGCCATGCTTTCTTTGTATTATTATTTTTAACGGACAAATGCAAATACATCTTCCTTTCCTGTTATTATGTCCACCGATAAGTGTCTTTACTGGATTGAACTGAGCATCGGTCTGTAACAAAAAAGGTTCTCAAGGGTAATTGTTAAGTCTAACAGTAGACGTCTTAAGTAACTATCCCGAGTGCCTGTGAGGTTGTAGTGTTGTGACCAGGCGGTGAGAGTAAGTGCTCTTGTCTGAGCGCTACCATCGGCCGGTCACATCCCAAGTGGGAAGGAAGAGAAAAAAGGCACCAGCATGAGGGGTTTATTGTGCACAGAACCCGGAGTTGTCCTCCAGGCGACAGTGGCCACTGGCGAAGCCAGGGCTGGTGTTGACTGCGTCCAGTCAGGCCTGAGAGTCCTAGGAGATAATGGTGGCAGCCACATTTGTAGGCTCGTGGGCCAAGCTCAAGTGGCGGCCAGTCAGCGTGTGTTGCATTTGCCGAGGGGTGGTGTCCCAGTGGCTTGTTTTGCTGGTTGCAGGGGGTGGCGCGTTCAAGTGGCCGCATGGGCAGCTGCGACTGCGCGGACACAGGTATGCCCGAGCAGGTATACCCGCGGACGCAGGTATGCCCGGTCGTGTGATTTCAGGTCAGCTCGTCTGGGACGGATCGCTGCAAGGGGTGAATGGCCTTGAGGCAGCGAGGTCTCGAACAATGACACCAGACCAGTCATGATGGCTGCCCACTACAATGCCTCTGCATTTACCAATTTGGCTTGTAAAGTTAACAATATGGATCAAATTCACCACTAAATTTTATGAACCCTATATGGTCTCCTTTTATTACCGTAAAGTAAAGTGTGGTCTGCCGTACGCGGAAAATACACGGCTTGCAGTTTGGAAACCCTGAATCTAAGTGTAACGGTAGAGTGGGCTTCCCAATACAGTAGATATTTTGACAGGCATTTTGCACTATTTAATGAGTGCTAGGCCGCTATTTGACGACGGCCTCCAGAAAATCTGCATAAATTCGAAGGGGGGGGGAGTCAGAACTGGACCATTACAAGGTCTCATCTAGCACAAAAATCCTACTATATCGGCTCTGATAAGGAATGTTATTTGACTCGGTAAAAATCTGTTGGGGCGAGAAAGATTAGGTTGGCGTGCAAGAGTCCTGCAAAACAACAATTTCATTGGAGTTTAGCCCTCAGAAGGCCCTACACACATGCACCGGTCCTGTTGCTTATAGGAGGCTGGAAAATAATCTAGTATTTTCGAAAAGATGTCATTACCTATTTGACATGCCCTATACCTCTTTGGCTTGTTTGTGAATTGAATTCATTATGGCAGTTTCTGCTCCAAGATCCCTGGATGTTGGTGTAAACGATGTTATTTTACCTGACATGACTGCATGAGCTTCATAATCTTATAAAATAAATTCTCCTATTTCGTAGAAACGACCCATCATAGGGAAAAGCCACTTTGTCAAAGATTGGGCTAGGCATTCTTAAATTTGACTGAATAATCCAATAGTATCCCGCACGCCATGCATTATGGTGTCTAGACAAAGATGGTTTCCCACTATCTTTGATGAGAACCGATTCATATCCAATGAAAGCTGACGGCTATACGATTAATCATACGGACATATTCCGAGGGTTTCTGTTGCACTTTCAAAAGAGGCCCGAGGGTTGTGTTGAACGAAGAGCCAAGCGCTCAAAAAGTAAGAAGGACTTTTTTCTACCAGGTTTTTTTTTACAAAAGTCCATGGGACAGTCCGTCTGGAAATATGTCTATGCTCTCTAAGTGTATTATACCCGCATAGTAAAATAGTGAGGTCGGGGGATTGTAATATAGTACCTCCTCAACCCTTCGATTTTGACCCTTAGGAAGTTTCTTCAAGATTACCACATCAGGCTTCGCAAGTACCGTCAGAGGACTGACCAAGAGAAGACCAAATACTGTGAGTTCGTGAGCGATTTGGGTACAAATCTGCCTCCGCAGAGGGTGACTGCGTCTGACTCTGTCTCTGGTGATGGATTCCAGTGAGAATCCGAAACGCCAGGCCAAAAAAGCCCTTATTCCAACGATCGTGTCTCCTTTGCGGATACGTTGTCCAGTTTTGCCTCGGTTTGTACGAGCCAATCACATCCTCAGAGCCCTTCTGATTGGCAGAAAGGCTCTTAGGCTCCAAGGTCGTTGAGGGCCATGAACAGCGCTTTTTTAGCCGCAACATTCGTTATCAGTTTGATGCAAAAAATCGATTTTTTGATCTACCATTAGCATGTGCCATGGGCTGGAAACTCTTAATTGCCCAAGCAACACGGAAAAATCCACCCGGGTCCGTGTGATTTGCTTTCAGGAGGGGGGTTGAGCCCCACTCACGGAGTTAACGCCCATGGCAGCCGCGCAGGTCATCATGGTAGGAGCATGCACAAGGCGCGGGATCTAAAAAGTTGCGGCAAACGCCCTAGGGGAAAACCGTCCGGTTACCACGGTTACACTACGTTGTTTAGGCGAGGAAGGCAAATACCGTCCGAGTCCTACGGACGACAGTATTGTGGGCTGATCTCGCAACTTGTATAGCCCTTACGCACACATGCAGTTTCTACTTCCTTTGAAAGCATTTGCAGCCGCTTGAAATAAAGCGCAGAATGCGGTCGGAAACAATGTATTGACGAACTTTTAGGTTGCTGTTGATTATGACATAAGAAAACTATATATGTAGAGGAAATAACCTGAAATGAAGACAAGGAATCAGTTTCAGAGTTAAGGGCCTTCGCCTTACATTGTGAAGCATCTGGTCATATAGGCGTAAAGGCCCGAGTGGTTTCAAGAAAATCTCATTAAATTAAGTAGATGGAGTTGACGAGTGTCGGAAGGCCGTTCTCAAAAGACGAGATGCAACCAAGCGTCTTCGCAAAATTAGCTGATTCACCAGTGGCAGTTAAGCATTGCCGTATTATTGAAGAGGTAGGGAAGTCATCTTTATTTATCTGCTCTAGAAGTGCGGAGCGTGAATTTCACGAGCAGTCGTCCTAGGTGTTGAACAATAAGCATACTTCCAATAGTCCCTCGGCCATCCAGATGGGTGACGCCTTCAGATAGTCTTGCAGAATTTTCAGCAGCTGCGGACGGTACATAAGGTCGAAGTGAAGTTGCTTTGGTGGAGCGACGTCAGTTATTTC